AAACCTAAGACATAAGACTCTTATATTTATTTTTTTAATTTAATAAAACTACACAACTCATGTTGCTTCTTGTAGAATTATCAGAACACAAAGGTTTAGGTAAACTTAAGTAAAGTACAAACTGATATGGAAAAGTATCCCGTATGTTATGGCTCAAACCTACGAATCATGTGAGCAAATACGGTTAGCAGAAGCTAAAACTGGTTTAGATTAACCTAGAAGTTGGGTAAAAATAGTTCAAAAGCGGTCAACAGTCACTGCCGTAAACTCTGTTTCTTGACTTCAAAAACTCTGTTCCCATACAAATTAACTAATTTGCATCCTGGTGGGAGCTGGCAAAGTAGAAGTGACAGTATAGATAAAAATAATAAGGCAATGGATTAACAAATTTAACACCTTGCATCTTTAGTTTAAATGTGAAATGAAAAATAAGTTAGTGATTATTTGCGGTGTTAAGCTTGAGGATCGTTACTAGGCGTTACAGCTCATTGAGCTACACATAAACTTTATTATCCCGTTCAGTAATCATTCTCAGAAAGCAAATTAAAGACGGATGCTTATCCTCTGTATTAATACGCTGAACAGAAAATACTGATTTAGGATATTACAATATTACCCTGCCCTCCAAAAGTTAAGGAACAGCATGTTTTTCAAAGCTCACCATTACAAAAATGTCAGTAACGTTTAAATTCACATTCCATATGCATAACAGTAACGAATTTTAAGAAAATGTATGAAAAAACAATAGCTATCATTTTTATTTTATAGAAATGAATACTTATATAGGAGTTGGAGAAGAAATGCAAAAATTGTATTTTTTGTTCACAAGTGCTGATCTACAGTTGTTATTACAATTTCGTGGACAATATCCAGGAGAGTCTATCAATGTCCAGGCGAAGTCGTTTGCCCGATTTGTTGAGGTGGCGGACGATCGAATGGATGGAAATGGGGATGTCACAAGCTGATGCTGCAACACGTCTCAATGTCTCTTGTAGTGTGGTCCACCGACTAAGGAATCAGTTTGAATCCGATGATTATGTGCCTAGAAGACATGTTCCAGGCAGACCTAGAGTTCCAACACCTGTGGGAGACTGTTATTTAGCTATTTCGGTCCGAAAAATGAGTAACATTATTGTGCCTCAGCTCATGGAAGATCATTTAGTGGCAACACGAACAAAAATCTCAGCTACTACAATGCGCAAACGCCTGCACAGTACAGGTCTGTACGTAAGACGACCAATTGTTTGTGTCCCTTTCACCCGAGAACACAGGGTTGCTCTTTTATATTGGTAAAGAAACCATGTCTCCTGGACCAGTCAACAATGGGCTTCTGTTCTCTTCACAGGCGAGTTCATGTTCACATTGGAGAGTGATTCAGGTCGTCAGCTGATCTGGAGGGAGCAACGCGCCAGATACAACCAATCCCACATTGTGGAAAGACACAGTTAGAGAGGCGGTGGAATAATGGTTTGGGCTCGGATCTCTCTCGGTGGTCACACTGACCTGCATGTGTTCCATGGAGGAACTTTCGCCAGTGTGAGATATCGAGACGAGTGCCTTGATGAATATGTCCGCCCATTGCCGCTGCTATTGATCCTGGATTTCTTCTGATGGACGACAATGCGCGACCGCACCCAGCTCGGGTTGCTGAAAAATATCTTGAGGGTCATTGTATGGAGCGGATGGACTGGCCAGCTCAATCTCCAGACCTGAATCCGATAAAACATCTTTGGGACTACCTTGGGAGACAGGATGCTGCTTTATGTCCTCCTCCAAAGTGATGAGCTTGAACAAGGTTTACTCCGTGTCTGGTCGTTGCTACCCATTTCACTGACCGACAACTTAATTGACAGAATGGAACATCGCTGGCGCCAATGTACTCCAGCTAGGGGTGGACACATTCCTTATTAGAACGCACTTTTGTAATGTTACTACCCCATTTTTCCTCAAACATTTGTGATATACTGTTTTTCCAAGACCGGACTTCTCTGCCAAGAGCGCAATTTTTTGTTGCAATTCATGTTTGTGTTGAACTTTAGAAACATTCTATGTCACATTCATTAAAGAACTGTTTATGTCCTGTAAATTTCTTGTTTCTATATTGCTTCATTCTCAAATTAGACACCAAAAAACTTGCTGTTTCTTAATATTTGGAAGGTAGTGTATTTAAAGACCGATAAAATGTGTAGTCATGAATAACTTTCTGTGCAACTTTTATATCGAACGTGTATAATACATTATTCAGTTACCGATACCGTATTCGAATAGTTTGTACTATAGTTAGATAGATTGTATATAGAGAGATAGATAGATAGAAAGTTTATCAGTTTCTTACAATAAATATAAAAGGTACTTTTAAACTGTGATTTGCACGAATGAATTTCTAAAATAGTTATCAAAGAATCTTTCATTATACGTATGCAGTGATTTTATTTATTCAGTTAGTTTAAATATTTTGTCAAATCAGAGCCATCCTTGTGGAAAACCGCATGTTTTATTTATCAGTACTTTTTGCCTACAGTCAGCTCCTAACAGCTTCGCTAGGCTACTTAGCTTAATATTATAGACATAAAATGTCTTTTCCTTTTAAATTTCTCTGATTTTGGTTGGCTTATAGAGGGCAAGTGAAATCTCTTCAGTGATTTACAAAGGCTCTTTTTTTCCATGCGCTTCAAATTAAAAGGTAAATATTTGAATCTAAGCTTTTGATAATTACTTTACGTTCATGCTATCCACTTTGCGGGAATGTCAAGGTAAGTGATTTTTTCTCTGCTTTTATAAGGCATTATAGCGTGAAACCAATCACACCCTCTCATTCCCAAAGTTCGCACTTTAATTTCAGTTCGCATTATTCGAAGAGTTGCAAATATCATTCATTAATTTTGGTTACATATCCACATAACTAGTACATTGCATAAAAACTACATATTATAATTAACTTTTAAACCGCCGTATTTAAGAAATGTAAAGATTTCATTTCTATAGAATAAAATGGGAAGGGAAAATTCATGATCACTAAACTGAAATTTCATAATATAGAGGTAATTGACAAAATATGCAATACCTGCATTTTTTATGCCATTTAAAATCCGCAAAATATTATAAGAAACACATTAAACACATTGTAATAGTTTCATTGGATCCTGAGAATCTTACTTTCCATATATGTAAGGTAAATTGCGAAATCTGTTCTGAGGTATTTCGCTAATATAAAAGGGTTATTACATTTTGAAGTATGCATTTCACACATTTAGGAGATCATTACTCACGATAAACCGCTACTATAAGCATTAAAATTTTATTACTTCTATTTATTTGTGGTACAATTTTAAAATGAACATTGAGAATTTTTCATTTTCAGGAGAAAAATGTTACACGTTTCCTAAATTTTGCGTAAAACAAAACGCTTTATTTGCAGTAACAGAAGCTAGGTCTTCCAGACTGTTTTTCAGTTATGTTATTATAATATATTTCGTAATTTACAGATCTAACATCTGTTTTTTATACATTTAATGAATCAGTATGTGAAGTAGCATCCTTAGTGCATTTTTACAAAACACACACATTGCAAAACTAAACAACATAGTTCTAAACAACATAGTTCTTCTGTTTATGTTCCTCTATAACTTGTTTCATTTATGCATAGATGGAAAATCTTCCCTGTAGAATTTTAAACGTCTCATGTCTCTTAGAGATGATTTGTTAAATACTGTCTCCCAAACTTTAACATGTTTAAGCTTTGGAAAGACAAATTCACTAAGGGAAAGAATTATTTCTTGAAATATTTTCTCCCCCCCCGATAAAAAGCAATAACCATCTATTTTCAGGAAGATTACTGAATAATGAAGTTGAGTTAAACAAAGTAACATGCGCGAAAAGATTTAAGGAGAAAATATATACATTTTCGCACACAAATACGTGTAAAAAACAAGGAAATAACTATAACATCCACACGCGCACACAAATAAACGGAAATGTAAAAAGGAAACACTTAACAGTTAAAAAAAACTACTTCTATGTGATTATTACAACATGAACAACGCGTATAGCAAGCCATGTAGAAAACACCCCGTTTTTCCCTAATCGGTTTTGCAATGAAACAATAATTCCGCAATCGTTTAGTTCGATTTAAACGGATCATTTCTTTTGACACATTATTATTCTTTATTGATAAAAGGTGTTTTTTCCTACAAGGCATTAATAAGTTTCACTCTAAATCCTTGTTCCTTCGTGTCTAGATGCTCAGGAAGTTAAGTTTTGGTCTGTTTACTTCTGAATAATAAAGATAAGCTTTTGAATAGACGAGAAAAAAAAGTATTGGAAGAAAATTTAAAATACGATTAAGATAGCAATCATTACGTAGTGGGAATTTCAAACCTGTGAGTTAACGCATATGTTTCGGCTTTTTTAATTTTTTACTTTTATCTTATATAATTGCACTTTCTCGAGCTTATTGTTCGATTGTTATCATAGGTCCTTTATTTAAAAAGAAATAACTAAACACTCTAAAAAATTTTAAATCTTATTGTAATCGTACATAAAATGGTATACACTTGATGAAAAGAATGTTCTTAAAAATATGCATTTCCAAATACTCTTCCATTGCGTTAAAAAAAAGAAAGAGGGAGAGAGAAGAAGCGGAAAAAAAAATAATTTATTCTGTATTTTTGTAGAAACCAACTAATGATTTTTTACATCTGCTTTGCAACGAATCTTAATGCAGTTATTTGACATCTTGTTTACTATTAAACCTTATTTCACTTCCTAGTCACAGAAATACAGCTGTTTTATTTATAGGCAACACTTCATTTTCTCTCTTTTATGCTTGGAAGGGAGTGAGCATACGGATTTAGAAATGTAACAAACTGAAGATATTTCGCGTAATAAAGTTTCATGTGTTATTACCCATTTTCATTCATGATAACCATTAAAAGTATTAGATAATTGTTATCTTGAATAAATGAGGAATGAACCATAGTGATAAAGGTTTCCTTTTTTAGACAATCTGACGTAGGGTTTCGGTACTTCCTTGAATCTCCAATATCCACCAGCCAACGACGAGAAGACGACCGAATAACTTACATCAATAAAGGTAAGTCCAATGGAAATTTAAGACCTAATTTATTTGAGCCTTTTCGCTATGCCGGTTCTGGTCTCCTTGCTGAGCACTTTCTTATTTTCTCTTTTATTTGGATCGTCAAGAAGAGGGCTGAAGAATCTAATCGAATGAAACAGTTACTAGAAAATATTAAGTTGCATATAATTTGCTAGAGGATAATGTGCGCAAATTGCTTTCAAACTTGACTGATGATTAAACCAAACTTAACTGATGATTAAACGAAACTTAACTCATGATTAAACCAAACTTAATTGATGATTAAGCAGATGCAATATGCAAGCTAAAATGTATTCAGTGTCAAATATGAAAACGGTTATTGTCAGAAACAAGAATAGTAATAACTTCTTCCATCCTCTTTTCGTGCATATGATACGTATAAAACATTTTTTGTGAACATTCTACTTCGAGAAAAAAATGTCTAATTTGGAAGCTGCTGTAATCGTTAATGTAATTTTATTAAGGATTAGTTATGAATTCTAACGCGGAGACTTGAATACTAATAAGTTAATAGCTGAGTTTCGTAACTAGGTTTCCTGCAGGTAGTTTATAGGTTCGGCTATAGCAAACTTCCATTTAATTTCAATTTACTTACATCATTATGATTATGAATGTAAAATAATCCATGAAATTCAAATCACAGTATCTTCATATACTCATATGCATGCTGATGCGACATGCATAGATATAGATACATAAGCTCCTTTTGCTTTTGACAGCTATGATTATATTTGATCTATTATCTAATCATGTTACTTCAACATACTTAAAGTGAATTCGTAAATATGAAATAGGTATTTCAAATAAATTGTGGCGTTAATGCCCTAGTCCACACATTTTTACTTCCATGTTAGTATTTTTCCATCTTGCGATTGTACTTGTAGGTAGTAATTATACATTTTTTTTTCTTTTATAAGCTTCTTAGATCCCTGCACATAGATTCATAATACATAATGCTCCAAACGAGAATGCCAATGTCTTATTACTGAAGTATATTAAAAGAATTTAATATTACCATCAACATAAATTTTCTTTCTATCGGTGACTTTTCATCTTAATAACAGGGCCCACCAGCGGCCGAGCGGTAAAGTCGCTGAACACTGGTAGTTCGGTCCGAGGTTCGAATCCCGCGAACGGGCTGGCTGCATGGGCGTTTTCGTGGTTTTCCCCATGTGTAACGTGTATACGAGCCAGTTTCCCTTAGAAAGTCCTCCACGAAAGGCATCCCTCCCTTTAGGCAGATAGCCCTCGAGGCTTTGCAACAATCACACACACACACATCTTAATAACATGGTAATAGTTCATGTCGGCTTATAATCGCAATTATAAAATAAAATATAAATATTTCTTGTTGTTTTCTGGCTTATTATAAAAAAGAAGTCTTGCTAAGTATACTGATTTTTCAATTCAGAAGCCAGTTTCATCTGACTAAATAAGAGCGTATCAGAATAACTGTAGATAATTTGAATGCATTTGTCAATATATGTACGTAATTTTGTGATTAAAATGTACCAATATTTTTTTTCTTCTGTTTCGAGTGAATTTTCTTCATTATAATATTTCTTATTATATAAAGTTACTTTAAATTCCTAAATTCTTTCTATCTGTTTCAGAGCATGTTATCAGCATTTGATGCATTTAAAATTTGAAAATAATTTTAAGTATTCAAGTATCCTTAGCTATTTCATATTTTATAATCAGGTAGTTAAGGATACAGGAAAACGAAGCAAAACTTTGAAAGATAAAATAAGGAATATGAAGAGTGTACACGTAGTTTGCTATCCAGCTGATGACGATGTATACCTCAGGTTTATTCAGTAATAACTCTGCTATTTCGCAGACAGCTTTAGCAGCGGATAAACATAGAAACTGAGATGTTTAAGCTAATTGAAATGTGGAAATGGAGTATTGTTAATAAAAGAACACAGCTTGTGCCAAATGTGCAAAACAAAAAGTACACAGCATGTTTCTCAAATCAGTACTAATCTAAGTTTGAATTTTTTTCAAAGTAAGCAAAGAATATTTTTGAAAAAAATTAAAATATGTAATTAATATGTGACATGAAACTTTGAAATATTTTTATGAAATACTGGGTATATGATGTGACAATAAGATATTTATGATGTGACATCAAGATAATTATGGACGTGACTCTTTGCAGTCCTACCACGCTGATAATTCATTAGAATTGCTGTAATAATTCTTTTACGAAGGAAAAGTATTTCAAATCTATTCCTGCTTATCTTAAGCACTTAATTGAATCATAAAGCACTATAATCGAAAACAGTAAAAGAAGAGTTATATTAAAGCTTCTAAACGTCTTTAACAAATGCAGAACTATTCTTTTTACATTTAACATAAAAAGTAGAAAGTGGTTTCAACTACACATTAAAAGAATGCTTCATTAGGTATAAAAATGCAAAAAAGATAAGAAATTATTCCTGTAAGAAAGATTCAAAGATTTTCCGGCAAAAGCTATGTTCATGATATTCACATTGTTTTCTAGTTTTTAAATATGTTTTTTCGCAGCTGTTTAGTGTTTTTTATGAAAATATACATTCAATAATGTTCATAAAAAAGGCTTGCAATTTTGGTTCATATTTAGTCCCTTATACAAGGTTAAATAAAAACCAAGTTTTATGCTTCAAGCGGCGTTTCTTCAATAAATCTACTTATATAATTAATTCTTTTTATACTTCTTTTTAATAAATTTGGAAGCTTAATTCCGCATGATTATAAATGATCATACATTTGTAGTGATGTAACTCCGTATATTGTGTGTATTCTGAATACAGGTCAGAACCATTCGGAAAGCTTTGCTTAACTGTAGTGGAAAGAAAATAATTTTATGAGAGTTTATCCACTAATAATAAGTAAAATTATGTGTTTTCAAAACTTCGTTGCAATATTTAATAATTTCCCTCAAAAGCTTATAAAAGTAATTTCATTTTCAGGACAATTTTATGGAATAACATTGGAATATTCTCCTGATCCTGCAAAACCGCTCAAGTGTGGTACGGTTAAAGTAAGTAAAATCTCTATTATTTTACTTTTTATGTTCGCCTTATATTAATTGAATAATTATATGCTGTAACTGGTTTGATGCGCATGAAAAGTCCTTCTCGAATATTTTTTGCAGTATTTTGTTGCAGCTAGATAACCTAAATAATGTATTGTAAATATGTATTGTATACATTTAAAAATATTTATGTTTCAAAATATTATTTGGGAACTATTTTTATTTAAAATTTTGAACAAGTAAGCAAAGCTAAAAAAATTGATAAAACTCTTTTCTGTCATTTCTATAATAAAATACTATACAATGGAAAATAAAAGAGGAAAATCGGAGGAAATTAATAGAGAAGAAGAAAGACAATTTTAATTTTTAGGCAAGGAAAGGTATAAATATCTCTTTAAAACAGTAAGAAGTTGAATTAAGTGGCATTATTATTAATATAATCTAACAATAATAAATTCATTATATTTCTTTTTATTATACTTTTTATTGAAAAAGGAAGGTTTTACCAAAATAATTTTGCTTCCTTCTTACTCACATTTTCCGTGTATGGAAGTTCATAGAAAAAGTGTACACTAAATATTTTTTCATCATTTAAATTTGGTATTTATAAAGGAGCATCTAGTATGCCTACGATGTCTATGCCCACAAAAGTTAGTAGTTTTCTCTAATGCAACTTAAATACCACCCAGTTTCCGTTAGAAATTTCACTATGAAGACATTTGAAGGCATTTGTGAGGCTTTCTGTATTTTGCTGTAATTAACTAACTAACAATAAAAACGTAGAGTGGCTGACATCAAATTTCATTTGGGAAATATTTTGCTAATAATCTGGCGTCCTGTTGCGTAATATTTTAACACAACTTTTTAAAGGTTCACTCTAGATCATAAAGAGGTTAACAGTTTACACTATTCCTTTCAAAGTTAAATGATAAGAAATAATATAAAGTGATTTCTGTTATCTTGCCTTTCTGGTTTTAATGTTGAAAAAAAAATTTATAAGTCTGAATTCTCAAACTCTGCAAGGGGGCCGGACACGCCAATCTAAAAACAGCTGACGGACCAGAATTATTTTATTAATTTATTTTTTAACTTAAAGAAATAAAAAAAATGACAAGATAAAAAATACTTTAAATAAGATTTAAATTTTGCTTACTAAATATTTATCAAAATATACGTAAACAATAATAATAATAATATCACAAAGGAAAAATTCAAGTTTGATTTCTATCTTAGATCTAAAGCTTCGGACCTGCAAGATTTTTTTGTCCGTTACACTAAAGTATTCAAATATATAAAAACCTAAATATTAAATTTTCAGACTGATATTTATTTGAAGTAGTTCTAACATATCTGATTAATCATTAAATAACCTACTTTAGTTTAAACTAAAAATAAACAAATTAGAAAAACTTTCTAAGTTTTCGGGGAAAATTTTCCAAATGAAACAAAAACTTGAGAATAAATAATGAACTTAGTGTCTTTTTTTTTATTTATTAAATTCTTTCATTGTTAAATTATTCATCACGGATTGTTAGCTTGGCACATCAGACAATCCGGTTTCTTTCATATTAATTTTAAATTCTGAAAAGAGGCTGCTCACATATAAATACAGTTTCGAGCAAAGCAGTTATTCCATCTGCAAAAACTCATAACTGAGTTTATTTTTTGATATGTACGAATAAAAGTTCAGTAATAATAAAATGAAATCTGTACCTTCAAATCTTTGCATAAGATTTATACCATACTGTAAATTAATCCATTTACAGACTTTCACCTACGTTTTTCCTGTTTGGCTTTAACGGTAATGAAATTAATGTAAACTCTGACTTCAGATAACTAAAATCATGAAGTCTTTACAACACCGTATTTGCAACAAATAGATGATGAAATGATGAAATGTATTCGATGAGATGAAATGTATACATAGATGAAATGTATTCGCGGGCCGCTGCTTCGGGGGAAACCAGTTTGAGACCACTGGCTTAGGGTATACGTCTGGCATTTCCAAATGCTCATATAAAATTACTTTTAGTCTTATTAATCAATCTCCAAACATGACAGATTGGCAGAGTTATCGGCGGTCTGACAAAGTATTATCGTTCACCTTTAAACTAGTTGCAGCTGATGGTGAGAAGTATTTGTATAAAGCTAAGCGCCAAACAGCGCCCCAGTCCGCCCCCATCCCCACCCCCAAAAAAAGAAAAGGGAAAAAGCAGAATAATGCGACTGAAAGAACAGTTAAAATAAGTTTAAACTCATTTTAATTTTAACTATTCGTTTAAGTTAAAAGGGCTCTAATTAGTAGTTAATTTAATTTTGAACTTTTTAGAACAGTTGTAATTAAAAAAAAAGGAAATGTGTTTCTCCACTAAGAAAGGATTTCATATGTTACTGGAAAACGAATTAAACTACAAATGGTTTTAAATCGTTATTGGGTATAAAATATTGCGCATAGTATGCTTTATACGTCATACTTTTGCTGCTCTTGTATATATATATATATATATATGTAAGTAAGTAAGCGAACTTGACGGATGTAAACAACAAGTTTTTGACTAAGCTCTTTAGATTAAAAATACGGTGCTTGGAATCTCACATGAAACATGTTGTTTATTTTATGGAGCTAATGAACTTTTTAAGTTATTATAAATAACCACGTGTAATTTTAATATACTTTAATAAATGTCTATTTCACGATGGTAGACACACACGAAGCCTCACTACAACGACATGTGTTGGTCGATTATAAGACAGCCTTCTCGCTATGAAAGCTCCCTAAGACAACCTCGAAAGATTTCACATGGTTTTGGTTTTCTGTGGAGTTGTTTTCAGTACAGAACATGACTATAGGTGGTATTCAGTACCGTTATTTAATTTTGCTCTCAAAAGGGCTAGTCTTTCTCAGAGATGGTAACCTTCGGGAGATGGTTGTCACAAGAGTTTGTGTATATTTATAAGATCTCTCAAATTCATAATTTAAGGCCTAGACAACAAATTTAAAAAGTTTAAAATTCAATTCAGAGAAGTCAATAACTAAAAACATATTTGAATGTGTAGACTTCTACAATCAATTCTTGCATTGCCACACATCTCGCACATTCATAAAACATCTGTATTGCTTCGTAAATGTCAATGAAAATTGCAATCCCTCTATAATAGTTTTGGGTGGTTTCTGAAATGATAGCAAAATTGTGCCTTTTTAAGGTGAGATTTCACTTTAGAGAAAAGATAAATACACGCAGATGCAAATAATGAGGGGGCCAATAAAGTGGATATTTAATAACAATAATTTACCTTTCATTTTCAATGGTCTGCTTGGCGACTATAGTATTGTGGGAAAAACACTTTCTTGTTTCTTTTTGTTCAATCACTGACTCCATAACGGTAGTTATCGTCTACACAAAATTAGATAAAGACTTCCATATTGGTTAATATTTTAAAAGGAAAATATGGAACGTGTTAATAACTATTGTCAGTAGATGTCATCTGATAGATCCACTCAGGACTGCTTAAAAATACTTCAGTTCTGATACATACATTCTGCATAGATTTGAATATGTTTCTCTACCAAAAGCCAAAGATGTAAATATGTTTACATGAAATTCAAAGAACGTTTTTGCAGTGTCTACACTGAAATGTTGACCTATATCGTGTTTCATCATTAAGTAAAATACCAAAATATATATAAAAATTGAGGGCACTCCTTTTCTGCCTTAGCAAATTGGTTTTTAAAGCTCTTAGTAAACTTTCTGCCCCTCAGTATAAGCTAACATTCAAGGTCAGAGATCTGTTCCGGAAACTTCTAAATCCAAGATGAATTTTAATGATAATTTAGAAAAGGGTTTACTATTTTTAAGTAAGAAGTGTTTACCTGCCTTAAAATATCAATAAAATTATCTAATTATATCTAATTATGATACGAACTACAATTCGCATCATAATTAAGATAGCTTTTAAACGCATTTCAATACATGATTTAAAAAAGTTTGCGAAGCAAATACAGTAAATGACGGATTTAAAGGCAATTATAAGCTGTTCTACGTTAACAGTCAAACTATTAAAACACAAACTAGCATTTAATTGATACGAACTCTATTATTATTATTAAATAACCAATAAAAACTTCGTAACATAATACAAAGCTTAGAATTCATTTCAGTTAATTCATAAAATCACTTAAAATTTGATTTTTTCTTTTCATTTAAGGGAACTCATACACCTTAAAACCCACAAGATGTTCGAATAGGTGATTCTTGCAAGAATTGGGATAACTTATTTATTTTAAAATCAATTACTACCAACTTTTTACAACTGACTACATAATATAGCTGCTTTTTGAAATAGTAATCAGAAAGTTTGTGTTGCCACAAATATTTTTATAATTTAATCCGCTTTGTGACAACATTTTTCGTCATGTTTCCAACTTGCGCGCACAGTTTAAAACGGTCTGTTTCATAATTTAATAATATCATTTTTATAACATTTGGAAACTACCGTAAACCTAAAATTCTAAAATTTCGTGTTAAATTTTTATTTTATTTTGAGTTGAGTTTATAAAATGTATTTTATTAAAAAATTTGTATGTTTTCGTCCATAAAATTTTTTCAATATTAAAATATTCATCAGATTGTTGGTTCAGTTAGAAAATAGTGCCCATATAAAGAATTCCTTCAAATTTCAAGTATTTACCATTAGCCATTTTTAAAATATGCGCGCAAGGTGGAAGCATGGCGAAATATTATGTCACAAAGAGGATTAAATTACAAAAATATTTGTGGCAACACAATCATTCTGGTTACTATTTTCCAAAGCAGATATATTATGTAGTCAGCTGTAAAATGTTGGAAGTAATTGCTTTTAAAATAAATAAAATATCTCAATTCCTGCAACAGTCACATATTCGAAGATCATGAGGGGGTTTAAGGTGTATGAGTCCCCTTAAGGTAATATTCTTTTTTAATTTTAACTTAGTGTTCAAGTACTATGTACTTTATAGTGCATATCTG